ATGCAAAAAGGCTATATGAATTTACTGTTGTTAAACATATGTAATTCTATCTAGATTCTAACTTATTGAAAATGCCCTATTTCAACCATTTCTCTGATTAAGTGTTTTGCTGTTGTCAGTAAATGGAGAGAGAAAAACCAGGACCTAGGGAATAAAGTAATAAATCCAAAGTTTATGCAGAGATGCAAAAACCCAGAATAGTCAGCACAATATTGATGGAGGAATAAAGTCAGAGGACTGACACTACCTGACTTCAAGACATACCATAAAGCTTCGGTATTCAGGACAATATGATGTCGGCAAAGAACAGACAAAACAGATCAAATGGAACAGTTAAAGAGCTCAGAAATAGACTCCCCCCCAAAATTTAGTCAACTAATGTTTGAAAAAGAAGCAAAAGTAATACAAAGAATCTAAGGCAGTCTTTTTAAGAAATGGTGTTGGAACTATTGGCCATCCTCATTAAAAAATGAATCCTGATAAAGAACTTGACACCCCTCACAAAAATTAACTAAAAGTGGATGATAGATCTAAATATAGAATGCAAAAACTATAAAGCTCTTAGATGATGACTCTTAAGACAATCTAGATAACTTTGGGTTGGTGATGACTTTTTAGATACAACACAAAAAGCACAATGAAAAAAATAATTGATAAATGAGACTTCATTAAGACAATGGGAACAGAATGAAAAGACAAGTCACTGTCTGGGAGAAAATATTTTCAAAAGACATATCTGATAAAGGATAGTTATCCAAAATACACAAAGAAACTCTCTACTAAGAAAACCAACTTGACTAAAAAAAATGGGCCAAAGACTTCAACAGACATCTCACTAAAGAAGAGATGCAGGTGGAAAATAAGCATATTCTAAGATGCTTCACATCATATGTTGTAAAAGAAACGTAAATTAAAACAACAATTGAAAGTGAAAGTCACTCAGTTGAGTCTGACTCTTTGCGACCCCATGTACAGTCCACAGAATTCTCCAGGCCAGATACTGGAGTGGGTAGCCTTTCCCTTCTCCAGGGAATCTTTCCAACCCAAGGATTGAACCCAGGTCTCCGGCATTGCAGGTGGATTCTCTACCAGCTGAAGCACAAGGGAAGCCCAAGAATACTGGAGTGGGTAGCTTATCCCTTCTCCAGCGGATCTTCCTGACCCAGGAATCGAACCAGGGTCTCCTGCATAACAGGCGGATTCTTTACCAACTGAGCTACCAGGGAAGGTACCACTATATACCTATTAGGATGACCAAAATCACCTAAATATAAACTGAAAACACCAAATGCAGAGAAGGATGTGGAACAACAGCAATTCTCAGTCATTATTAGTTTGAGTGTAAAATGATAGTCACTTTGGAAGACAGTTTATCAGTCTCTTGCAACACCAAACATACTCTTACCATAAGATCCAGCAATCAAACAAGTTGAAAACGATGTCCACTCAAAAACCTGCACACTTATGTTTTTAGTAGCTTTGTTCATAATTGCTAAAACTTAGAAGAAATAGATGAATGAATAGACTAGTAAGTCAAAACAATGAAGCATTATTTAGCCCTAAAAAAGGAATGAGGTATCAAGCAGTAAAAAGATATGAAAGAAACCTAAATGCATACCATTAAGTGAAAGAAACCAATATGAAAAGGCTACATACTGTATGGTTCTAACAATATGACATTTGGGAAGAGGCAAAAAACTATGGAGAAAGTGAAAACATCAAGGCTTGCTATGGCTTAATGGGAGAAAGAGATGAACAGTCTGAACACAGATGATTTTTAGGGCAAGGAAACTTTACATGATATTATAATGCTGGATACATGTCATATCACATCTGTCAAAAGTCATGGAATGTACAATTAAGGGGAAACTCTGGTATAAAGTATGGACTTTGGGTGATGATGATCTATAAATTCAGGTCCACTAATTATAACAAATGTAGGTCTCTGGTGGAAGTTTTGACCATGGAGACTATGCATGTGTAGGGGCAGGGAGTATATGGAACATCTCTGCACCATCTTCTCAATTTTTCTGTGAACATAAAACCACTAAAAATAGTCTATTGGAAAAGTACTCATTCACAGTAACCTTGAATTTTATTAGTTTCCTACAATCGAGTACTTAAAAATATTTGTATTTAATCTTAATAAGATATCACTTGTGTGTGTGTATGTGTGCATGCTAAATCCTTCAGTCCTGGGCAATTCTTTGAGACCCTTTGGACTGTAGCCCACCAAGCTCCTCTGTCCATGGGATTCTCCAGGCAAGGATACTGGCATGGGTGGCCATGCCCTCCTCCAGGGGATCTTCCTGACCCGACCCAGGGATCGAATCCACATCTGTAATGTCGCCTGGCAGGCAGCCAGGTTCTTTACCACCTGGGAAGCCCAAGTGTGTATATGTATGCATATGCATGTATGTATATGTATGCGTATATGTATATGTATGTGCTACACTGTGTGTGTAAGACAGGACAGAGTGAGTTCATTTTCCTATGAATCAGTGATACTCAACTTCAACACATTAATATGGATAAAAATATAATTTTCTGACACCAACAGTGGAAAGTTAGTGGGGATAGAACTTTTTGTATGTTACTGTAGTTCAGCTGGTATAAATTCAAATAAAAGTGGTATAACTTTAAGATTTCAAATGAAATCCCCATGGTAACCACAAAGAAAATAGCTCTAGAATACACACAAAGGAAATGAGAAAGAAATTCATATGTTTCACTGCACGCATAGACATACAAAATACTGAAAAACAAAAGACAGTAATAGAAGAACAGGAGTGACTGTACCAATGTCAGACAAAACAAATTCTAACTTAACAAAAATTATAAGAAACAATGAAGGACATTACACTAAGTGAAATAAGCCAGTCATAAATAGACAAATACTGTATTATTCCACTTATATAAGGTAGTTGGAGTTGTCCAAATCATAAAAACAGATAGTAGCATGGTGACTACCAGTGAGTCGGGGGGAGAAGGGAATGGGGAGCAATTGTTTAATAGATAAAGAGTTTCAGTTTGCAAGAGGAAGAGAGTTCTGCATGTGGATGATAGTGATGGTTGTTCAACAAAATGAATGCACTTAATACTACTACATCCTACACTAAAAATGGTTGAGGTGGCAGATTTTGTTATGTGTGCTTTATCACAATTTTTAAATGAAGGAAATAATATAGACCAAATTAGATTTTGTTAAAATTAAATTCCTGTGCATCAAAGGGCACCATTTAGAGAGTGAACCGCAAACCACAGACTGAAAAAATATTTGCAATACATGTGATTAATAAAGAAATTTAAAAATTAAAAAGATATGCTCCTAGCACAACACATTACGAAGTTGCTTTCTATTAAGAACACATCTTTTTTTTCAGACTCAAACTGTAATTACAGGAATCAGTAACTTAAAAAAATTACTTGTCTTCTAAATGCACGTATTTTATCTTTGTTGAAACTTCATGCCAAATGTCAGGAGAATGAATGCTGAATAACCAGGATCTTATTGCAAGAATGAAATTTAATTGTGTGCAGAATAACAATTAAAAAAAAAAAAAAAAACCTGTCTCAAGGTTCAAACAAAGAAATGGCAAATTCCTGAAGGCAATTATCTCAATAACAAAACAAACAAAACAGAAAACACCTCAGCCCAGTCCAAATGACAGTGTATAAAGTAAGCTATTTTTAACTCTGAGTTTGGAAAGAGTTTTCTTTTGGGACTTCTGTCCATTGGTTTAATTGGTACCCTGAACTTGCCCATCGTTTTCATGTCCACTGACTTTGCTCTATATTTTTATCATTTTATGAGTAAATTAACCAAATGCCTGTAAGGTCTTTGTATCTCTAGCACTTCTCCTTGCCAATACAGTCTGCAGTTACAAGATTTAATCTCCTAAATTCACATATCTAATTGTGCTTCATGAAGGATAAAACTGATTATCTTCCGAACCAGATCACAAAAGTTATTTTGTACCCTATCGCACCACAATGGACTCCATTATTACACAAACTTACAACACAATTATTTTCCTGCCTCAGTTTGCTATAAAGATGCAATAAGATTTCCTTCTGGTTTCTTCTTTTTTCCCCTGACAATCACTTTGAAGTTCTTAAAATCACTTCTTGCATTGAAAGTTTAGTATAGAGGTTAGATTTTTTAGGACTTCTTTGTTAACATGAGGAACAAATTCCACACTTCAGCCAATAGTCCCCCTTATCATTTGTTTATGCTCACTGTACAGGCCTCTATTTCTACCATAAAGCCTATGCATTCCTCTAAAGCAGTGATCAGCTCTTCAATTTTAAATCTACAGTATCTGACACTCAGTAGATATCTAATAAATATACAGTATTGCTTATATTTGTGTTATGCATGTTACACACATATATATATGCACGACTGAATTTAGCCTTTTGGTTATTTGCCACTTTGAAACAAGAGTCTACTTCTGAGGTCTTTCTGTTGAGCTTGTATTAATAAAAGGAAAATATTGACATAATCCATAAAAATGGCATCTGTGACTTTAGTGGGGAAGCATTAAGGCATATTATCTCAGCTTTATCACTCATTGGCCTCTTAACTACAGATGGGATTTAATTACTTCTTACAGACATTTAACATTTAAGCTTCCACAACATTGCCCACTAGCTATTTAGCACTTCTGTTCATAGTTTTTACCCCAAATTCATCAATTATACTATGAATTCTTATTATTCTTTAACACAGCAAAATATAAAAATCAGTAGTTTGTTCATAAGCAGATAGAAATAAGTGCCAAGATCATATGTTTGCCTTTTCAAAGAAGAGAAGCACTAAAATAAAATAGTAGGTAAATAAAATTCAAGTTGGTAAACAGAGTAGCCATTATAAAACAATGGAAACATATATATATATATATATATATAAATTACTGAAGTTCCTTCTAGTCTAGGGAAACTGTGTAGGTATATGCACCATTGTGCCAAGGACAGACTGGTCCTTTGCAGACACTTACCCTCTGACAGCATGAATAAGTCTCAGTGACGGATAGGCAGTCCGCACTTTCAGTTTATTCTTAAGGATTAGCGCATTAACCCACTCCACGTGCTTCTCTCCTCCTTTGACCATGAAAGCAGGGATCCAAAGAACACTGTCATTCAGCATGGAAAGTCTATGCACAAATTTTTCTCTGTCACTCTCATTCCGAAAGCCTCCAAACGCTCTTTGTACAACTGATGGATTCATGGTAATAAAATCTGATTTAGTTCCCACGTCTGCAGCAAACTCCACCACAGGGGCTAGATTACACCTGAAGAGGGAAAACATTAATGGACAAACGAAAAGTAAGTATGAAGCATTCACTTATAAAATGGCATTCAAGAAAAGAAAAAAACCGAATCAGCATGTTTTTTGTTTTTTAGTTTTTTTAACCAGGTAAGGAAAAAAAGACAATCTGCCTGGTAAAATTACATTTTCAGCAAGTCATCACACTTTCAGGAATACAGCACTGTCTTCAATAAGGATTACAGTGGGGCTCAAATTGTCATTTATACTAACACAACCTGTTGTTGAAGAACATTCATTGCTATTATCTTCATAAAACCACATGATATGAATTCCTAATAGGGGAATTTATGATGGTAAATTCATAAGAGCTCTGCCATGCAACAGGCAGTCTAAACCACATGCTGTTCTAGAAGGAAGTAAAACACACTTGACCTGATAGTCTAACCTGCACTGCTTGTCAAGCCTAAGACATTTCAACAAGTTTCTAAACATATGTAAGTGGAGATGGCTTTTCTGTACCCCGAGGTTAAGGGGAAAATATAACTCCTTGCAACATTTTCCACAAACCTATTTGTAATTGCTTTCCCTAGGCCTAAATGGGGAGGAAAAGTAAGAAAATGGAGTTGCTGCACTTAATATGCCTCTTTGAGATGTTACCAGAGAAAAATCCTCTACCAAGGGATCAGATATCTTTCTGTCCCTTTTGAGGACATCCTCAAAATGCCTGCCTTCCTTTCTAATCATGAGCACTTTGTGGAGGAGGACCCCTGTTCTCAACACCTGAGCTCCTGGGCCTCATGAAGTACCTGGTTCTGATTCTATTCTTGTAACCTGATTTCTGCATTTTAAGAAAGCTTTGGAAAGCACCTGGAATTTGTGTTCCATTTGTGATACTTCGATTCTGTCACAAAGAGTTCTGGATTTGATGAAACTTAAAAAATAGGTTTTAAATTTTACAATAGTTTAACTTGCTAAAAAAAAAAAAGGACACATTTTAACTAGTTGATCAGTGAAAAATTAGATTTTCAACAAACAAGAGTTTGCTAGTTTGGAAAAAAATAATTTGAATCTATACATTCATGAAAACACACTCTCACATGCACAGATTTTTTTTGTTTTCTTTTTTTTTTTCCATTTATTTTTATTAGTTGGAGGCTAATTACTTTACATCATTGCAGTGGTTGTTTTCTTTTCTTTTTGGTTGTTTACATCAGCCTTTCAAGTGAAGGGAAGATAAACTAATTTCCTCTTGCTGCATTTTTGCAGGTTTGACTGCATTGTGAAAGTTTCTCACATTTCTCTACCTGGTGCATTTCTCCACATTAATTAAATTCTAAAACCAGTTAAATTTAATTAGAAAGTAAAGTGTGTGTTCTTCTACTAAAATTATTGGCTTATACATCGCTCCTTATCTCTCTTAATTAATATAATGATTACTTCCTAGATCTACGACAACACATCTAACACAACAGATATCTTTTATCTCACACAATCAAGCAGTCTCTGTTATCTAGGCTGAGCTACTGAGAGAAAACAAAGTTAACACATCATATTATTTAGAAATAATCTCAAGTCATGTAACTTTAATTATACCCACTAGATTATGTGATAGAGTATTTATCTGTCTCCATCCATGCTCCATGCACTGTTGGAGATTAGTTATTACTCATTCCTCTCACAGTAAGAAATACGAGCGATGGGACTGCCCTGGGAAAGAACAGCTACATGTGAACGTAAGCAAACTGAACATCTCACAGTGTAACTCACAGAAGACTAAGGATGTGATTATTTTTAAAGTCTTAAAATGCGCTCCACATCAGCTTCAAAAACAGTCTAAAATTCTAACCAAGCTGATTATAAGATGGATTTGGAAACTGTGGAAACACATTCTGAACAACACGGGTACAGACACTTCCCCTTCCTTAGGGAAAAAATAGACAGCACTTGCTAACACAACAGTTAACATGTTCCTGTCTGGGGAGATAGCTTCAGACAGATCTTTCTGTTGTAACGATACCTCAGCCATCCTTTTCAGAGGATTCTATCAGAGGGAAAACAATATCTATAAATGTCATTTTCTCTATAATTGTGCAAGTAATCAGAGTCAACCCTGTTAAAGACAGCCAAGATAACATCCCAATGAAATATCTTTCCAGGAAAAAAAAATGACTTATTTTAGTTTATGCTTTTCATTGCTTTTTCTTATCACATGTTTAAAAGCCCCTCCACATCTCATGTTCGCAAACACCCACTCTTTTAAGAACAGCCTCAGCTCAGTTTCTGAAACAGGACTGTCTGGCCAGGTGTTATTGAAGAGTTAACAAGGCAGTCATCAATAAAGCTGGGTGCTGAAAGACAGGGACTTTCCACCTTGGGAACAAATGGAAACTAACAGAATAACAAGATTTCTGGAGAACGGGTGATCAAGAGGGAACTAACGTATCTGAGGTCAAAAACGCTAAGTGGCTGTGATGCAAACCGAAAGGGCACTGGGCGATCAAAGAATCATCAGTCTACCTGAGCTTTACTGGAAAGTTTCTATGACCCAAGCACAGCCCAATCAGGCTTTGCGAAGGATGGAAGTGGAAGCACTGAAAATAGCATGACAGAAGGACACACCATAACATCTAGACTATGCTGGCTCCACAAGCCCGCTTGTTCTTTTTGTTTGGAGTGCCTGTGCCTAAGTTTTTACTGGAAGGAAAGGTTAGTATCATGTCCACATGTGGCCAGCATATTAACTTCTCTGCGGTTGGATTAGATATTTAGTCATATAATTAACTGAATGTCACATAATCAGGGCAAGTGTTAAGGAAGCCAAAATAACCAACCAGCTGTGTTGTACCCCAGCAATTCAGCCGACTTGTGAACTTCACAGCCTTACTAGTAGCAATGGTGCTGATTGAGCAAGATTATAAATAGGTTTGCAATCACACATTCTTCATCTTTTTTAATAAATCTTCTCAGGGATTACAATAATCAAAAGTAGCCAGAATGGGTAAGCAAGCATTTATGAAGCATTATTTCCCACTATTCTTAATCTTATAAAATTGAAGAGCACTTGATTTTTAAATGATGGATTTCTGTGAGTCAAAACTACTGAGTATGCGAGAACAGTTAATGCACTCAAGTTCTGCTTCTTTAGCCTAATTAAATTTGTGTGTGTGTGTTAGTTGCTCAGTCATGTCCGACGCTTTTCAACCCCATAGACTGTAGCCCACCAGGCTCCTCTGTCCATGGGATTTCCCAGGCAAGAGTACTGGAGTGGGCTGCCATTCCCTTTTCCAGGGGATCTTCCCGACCCAGGGATGGAACCCTGACCTCATGCATTGCAGGCAGATTCTCTATCGTCTGAGCTACCAGGGAAGCCCCAAATTTTTATACTGACCCACTATATTGACATATCAAAAAACATGAAACCATATCTAAGAATTAGGTATGGTGGCCAAACTCACTGCTTACTCAAAGCTGCCAAATTTTCAATTTGTTCGTTTTTCTTTTTCAAGACTGATTAAAAACCTTTGGGAATGCAGCTGGCTCCATTTCTACCCTAGTCCTCTGAAATTTCTTCTGTGATCTCAAGCTAGATGTGATGCCCTCTCAACAGTCCTTCTATGTAGAATTGAAGGCACTTTCACTTATCTCACAGCCATATAAAATATTCTTTAATGCATTTTAATTTTAATTCATTTAATTTTTAAGGAAAGCTGTGTTTATTCCACGATAATCGCTCAAGACCACCTAATTCTCCAGCAAGACATATCTTTCAGACTTGTCAATATTCTCTGCATTTCCCTTAAGTTATAGATGAACAGTCTAAGCAAGTAGGAGGTCCCTCTTTCGAAAGTTCAACAGATATGCCTTAAGAGTTCATGGTGCAAATACAACACATTGCTCAGAATTATTTTCTGGCTATTTTACTATTTGTGCTAGTTGGCAATGATGTAATCTGGCCAAAATATGATCCTGACATTTATTATTAGTAATAGGAATAAGAAAATGCCCAGTTAGCCACGTGTTTACATATCCCACAGTATGTTATATACCTTTGTGCGACCTACCGAACTAGTCATTTGAGATATTGAGGTGAAACAGCATGCACTGTGATACAGGAGGATGTTAACAACTAAGTGGATTACAGCCTTATCTTTATTTATTCTTTCTCACATTAAAGTTCAGACAAGTTCCAATCACATAATTTTACAAACACATCCTTTTTTCCTGTTAGCCAATTTCACTGTGTATTTTGCTGTACTAATACTGAAATCCCTTAACTGAAACCATCATTACCTTGGAACCACAGTTGTCAACTAACCACGAAATGGGAGATGACCTCTTTTCTGCCCTTAGAGGAAGCATATGGCTTCTATCTGCTCCCATCCTGTTTTTGACGTTGAAGAATCAAGAGAACACTGAATCTCTAATACCTGGTTTTGTTCTAGGCTTTGTGGTTACCTTGTCAAAATTGCTAGGGGAAGCCAAAACATGCAAACTCTGAGCCTCTGTGACTTTCCTGAGGTGAATGCGGTAGAACTGAAGCCAATACTTTTGCCATACTTTGAGGTCAGGAGTGGTATTATCTCCACCGAGGGGTGAGGGGAGGCCTGGCGTGCTGCAGTTCATGGGGTCACAAAGAGTCGGACATGACTGAGAGACTGAACTGAACTGAACTGAGGGGTGAGGAACTAGGTCAAAGTGATGAAGAAACAAGTCTAAGGACACAGTGTATAGAATATAAAAGCATAACTATTTAAAAATTATTCCAGGACAGGGGTTTTCATTGACACTATTTCCACACTGATTTCTTTCAGAATCAGTAAAAATCTCCACAGGTTCATCTTTCACCCAACCTTCCTGTAAGGAAAAGAATGCCTTATCATTTGGTCTTAAGCATATCCTACAAGGCCACTCAGTCACGACATTCCCCAAACATTGAGCAGTGATTGAACAAAGGGGTTTTAAGGAAAACTATATGTACACCTCAGGTCTCTTGATAGAAAGAATTTTTAAAAATGCTAGTAA